ATTCCATTTTTAACTGATCCTTGATTAAAAAATTATTTCCAAATCGACTTAAATCACATTATCATCTAAATTACTGGATAGCGTTAGCTTTGTAACGTGGTTTCATTGAATCTTGAATTTCACCAGAGGATATGCATTTTGAAAGTTATATTTCTTTTGTGTTCGACTTATAGCAGTTCCAAAGTATATTAGGTGTTTGGGTATTTCGCGATCGGAAAACGCACAGCCAAAGGCATCTTGTTAAACCACCACCACAGTCCGAGTAGAATTTTAGATGTTTGCCCGCTTGATCGGCGCTTTTAGTGGCTACAACTAGTTTAGTAACCCGGCACAGACTGCAGCATCGCCGGACGGATTGCATGTTTTATATTCATGGCCGGCACACACGTTCACACACACACACACACACACACTCCAGGAACACAGACCCATACTGCCGCCACCGGAACATGTACACATGGTTATGGATTATGGACACAACACTGGGACTCCGATCACTGGGCAATGATAATACCTCACGGCGGCGGATGATTTGATTTGATACGATCTCGGCACTGCCTGCAATGCCCATTGCATTCGCATTTGCACTTGGAACGGTTCTAATCGCGACTGATTCTGATTTTCCGGTGGAGGTGGCATTGGCATTCGCATTCTCGTTCTCCAGATGCGGTTGCTTCTTCTTTCTGGGTGCTTCCTCTTCGTTTTCGATTTGTAACGGTTCGTTATCAACAATCGCTGTAAGTCCGTAGAGCCATCGGAAGAGCTGATAACGCATCAGGATCTGGAGCAGGCTCCTCCAGAGCCAACGGAATCCCTCGTTCAGCATGGCAACTGCAACTGGAACTGCTTCAATGGTCTACGGAATGCCAGGAATTTTCAGACGCCGCAATCTCAAATGGAGCATTAAACAAAAATACATACATATGTACTTTTTAATCGCGATTATCGCTCACACAAAAACACATTCGCACACAGGGGCGTCGACCAAGGGGGGTTTGGGTTTTGTTAGGGTAGTATACAAAGCCCCTGCTATTTTCGGATGCATTATTACTGACATGTGGCGCCTACGTGAAGTATATGGATTTACTCGATTAGCGGACCTTATCAACATTGAAATTTCACTAGCAGGTCAGGGAATATAAATAATTTTTTTGCACACACCAAGTTCACAGACAAACACACACACGCCTGCACAGTTGTATGTAGGTCAATGAATTGCACTTGATTGCCGGTAGATGGCCTTAAAACATTTATATATTTATAGACGACATTTTTTAGAAGTCCCGAATTTAGAACACAACAAAAACTCATCCATGTGAGCAATCTGCGGTATTTTTTATCTGCTCAAATCTTATCTGCCCACTTTCATTCACATTCACGCTCGGGAAAATTGTTTATTTTCATGGGTATGCAAATTATTTGATTTATTTTATTTTATCACTGGTTTTGCGATGATTTTTCGTACTTTTTGGGCTGTGTGATGAAGCTGCGAAATTGAACTTAACGTTACCAGCCGAAATTCTCAAGCAAATTGGTTCGATTCTATTAAGCTCAAGGTGACCTTTGAAGTTTTTGTGGTCATCAGATGGTTACGCGCTGAAAACAGCCCCCAACAACAAAGAAACAGCGAAGCTTGTAAACAAAAATCAGCTGGCTGTTTTTATTTACACTCAGTATGTATGAATGCCACTTTTTATACCCGATTTTCAAATATATTTTGGAGTCTTAACAATTGTATGCCAAATAAATGCTTTCACATAACTCTTTTAATTGAAAAATTAACAATACATCTTGTCAATAAACATTTAATTGAGAAACATTTGGTTAATTAGAGAGTCGCTAGGCAGCCGTGGTGAGTATTTTTCAAGGTGGCGTTATCGATAGATCAACAGGTCTCTCTCGCCACCTATCACTTCCGCCCACCATGCTAGAGATGGACAAAGATATAATGATACTGGTTCAACTTAGGTATTGTTTCATTTTATTATACCGTTTTATTCATATATAGGTAAACTATAGGCCTTAGGCTTTCTTAAACAGTAAAAATTGTTGAGTTTTAAGTTCGATTGTTTTCTGCTGAATTATTCGATCATTCCTATGACATCTATGTGTTCTTGGTATCCAATTTTGTTATCGGGTGCTTGGACTGTCATCTCCAGAATTGCACGCTCAGCTTATTTGGGGGGGAAAAATTCAAAGGTTTCCAATTTCATTATTGGTTATTGCATCCATCTACAGGAAGTAGCAGAAGCAATGGATCTGCCGATCAAGCTAGAAGTCAAAGTCGAGAACTGCGAGGAAGGTGCCATCGACGAGGATGAGGCCACGCCACTACGGCAATGTACAGGCGATTCCCCACTGCACGCATTTGCGACCGAAGTGCCGATGTCCGGATCGGGTTGGGACAGTGATCCGGGGGATGGTGGCCCACGTTCAGCGCCTCCGACTCCGGGCGCCCACCTGGAAAACCACCTGGATGCCGTCGAGCCGAAGGCAGAGCCAAAGATTAAAGAGGATGTTGAACAAATGCTGGAAAACATGCTGAATGACCCTTTTGATATTGAAAACCCCGCACCTGCCCATGTATTGCCCACTATAAAATTGCAGTTGGCTGAGCAGGGCAGTTGTAGCCGCTATGGACTTCCGAGTGATTTTAGGAACCGAAAGAGCCTGGACGACATGGACCTGTGCACCCTGGATGTCTCCAAGGACCTGATCCCAGACAATCTACAAAAAGCACAGCAACCTGGCCAGTTCGATGGAGGTGACGATTCAGATAATGCTGATGATCTTGTAGCCCGGAAAAGAGAGATCCTAAGGGAGTTAGGAAGCGAAAACGGAAAGCTAAAGAAGAAGAAAAAGAAGCACAAGAAGGATCGGTCCCATCGCTCCAGCCGGGATCAGGAGGGGTGCAAAAAGCGAAAGCGTAGCGCCAGTACGCAGGACGAGAGCCTGGAGGAGCGATGTTCTGGTGAACACAGGCATCGTGGTCGCAGGCATCGGGTCAAAACCGAAAACCCGGATGAGCTGGAATGTGTTCCAGTGCGCGCCGATGAGAGGCACATCCGTTTGGTAGCAGTCTCCAATCTCTACGAGCGTCAGCCACAGCAGGCTGAGCTGAATACTGAGAATCTCTCAAAGGCAGACAAGCGTAATCTAGCAGTGGCCCGGGCTGAATTGGTGCTGGAAATGTTCCAGAAGAGGGCCAACAAAGAGAAGGTCGACGAATACCACATGGTGGACACCGTGTGCAAGCTGCCCATCAACGAATCCTTCCGAAACCAAGGCTGCTTCGAGAATCCCTCCCCCCTTTGCAACAACATGAATGTGGTCTACGAGTTCAACTCCACGCCCGGAACCAAGATCGATTTGGCCAAATGGGGGCTGGAAGCAGTGCCCCGGGCCACCAGCGAGCTGCTCCGCCTCCTGGGCATCGATGTGGCGCGCCTAAAGCAGATCCAGAGCACGGCCAAGCCATCGCAGCGAATACTTAAGCTGAAGCAGGAGCAGCTCGAGCAGGGTCTGGGGCCGGATGTGGAAGCGGACACGGCCACGCTCTACAAAAATGCAGCGACCCAAACGGAACGCATGACCGCCACCCACGATGCGGGCACCCAGGTTCGTTTGGAAAGCCTATTCAAAGGAGCCTTCTGGCAGGATCCCAACTTTGACCAAATGAACTTGACCCAGCAGCAGTCGAACGTAATGTACTCCCTGCAGGCGCTCAGCAAGAGCCTGCCGGATGCCACCTTGGCCATGAAACTCTACAGGGCCTTGGAACCGGCTGTGGCCATTAAACGCGCGACTGAACGTCAAAATACTTTCTTTAATTGAACAAAGGACACAACGATTTTAATTGCTTTCATGACCAGAAGTGCCAATACGAAATGCCTTTGAAGCTCAAAACATTTTGTATTTCTCGAATTTACATATGTATATAATTATAAATCTGCCGCTCAAAGGTAAAGCGATTGCCAAGTGGCTTTAATCTATTTTCAATTTGTAAATCATCTCGCTCAATGTTTTCTCACTTTCATTGTATAATTAATAAATACACATATGCACATATGCATCATACATTTATAACAAGTAGTAAACTTTACTGTGCTATGGCTTACATCCAAGACTTGCAAGCAAGGTGTCTTTTCCTAGCGTACTAGTACTATATCGATCGTTGTGTAACCCAAAAGTCAGAGTTACCAAAAAGTCCTATAGTTATTGGTTAATTGCACTATAACTATAATAATTTGTAACTAAGCGTAGCTGGCACTAGTTTCACCTAGTAGAGAAGATTGTATCATTTGCGCACTGTAAACACGAACGGGGCCGATTCCTCCTCCTCCTGCTGTTCCAGCAAAGTGGTCCTAATCGTGGTGCGATGCTCCTGGGCCTCCACATCGTCGTAGTCCACTGATGACGAGCGGAGCAGCTGGAACTGTGAGTTGGAATCGTTTCGGGTGATGATCAGCGAAGCGGGTCGGGGTCCTGTAAAACATTGCAACTTAATAAGTTAAAGTTTTAAACTAGAGGTTGGTTAGTAATCCTCACCTGGTGGCGGCTTGCTCGTTAGACGCTTGCTGACTCCGTGGACATCCGGCTGACGCTCGGAAACATATTCCACATTTGGTGCCAGCTTGGGGCTATTATTGTTGTTATTAGCCGTGGTCGCCGTTTGTTGGATCGATACCCGCTTGTCGGCCTTGACGCTTCCCTGCTGCTTCAATATGGAATCCCGACCAGACGGCGGCTGCGTGTTGCCAGAGGAGCCGAGCAATGGTGTCGTCATTGCGGCTCCGGCACTCGGCGAGTCGAGTTCTAAAAATCATACGGATGAGGGAGATTTAGTTAGGGATCTGGGGGGACTACCCGCCACAAGAGGTGCTATCCCGGAATAGTTATAGTGACCAGGTGAAGTAAAGCAACCATTGAACTAAGAACAGAGGTTAAAGGCAGAACATAAGCACATATAGAAAGCTGAATAAAATGCAAGAGGTAACAAGTTGTTCATAAGATTTATCATTTATTTGATGCTTCATCATAGGGTTTAGTTGGGTGTGATTAGTGTACCATTCGGTTAGTTGTTCATGTTTCGTGGGTGATTCACAATTTTAAATGTATCGTGTATCGTGTGTGTGTGTGTTTTTGTGTGGCAAATAATTAATAACTAATCTTCGGCATAGAACAATTGGAATGATTTAGTAATCGCACAACTCAAATGTTAGTAATAGATAATACTGACCGGATCAAAGCCAAGCCAAAGCAAGAGTAAAACAAATCACGTAAGTAAAGTCATGTTTTGGAATGATATGCTATTGGTTTTGGTCTGTTCTGGTCTGGATTCATTTGGCTCGGGCATTGGTCCAGCGTTCGAATTGGTTCAGTTTGTCAGACTTTAAAAGTTAAGTACGACTCAACCCCATGCAGCCCGATCACTTGAGTCACTGGCCTCTCACAGCTTGGTGTCGTCGTAGGCCTGCTCGCCAGAGGCATTGGGTATGACCACCACCATGGGCAGGCAACTGGAGTCGTTGATCAGCTCGCTGCTAATCGAGACCTGGCGCGATGCCCGATGATAACCGCCACCGCAACCACCATCAAACAACGAGTCAACATGCATTAGATCGAGCGTGCTACCGCTAAGATCGTTACCATTGCCCAGGTGCAGGCCACCGCCACCGTCACCCGGACCACCCGGACCACCATGGCCACTGGGAGCACCCACCAGAGTGCTAAGACTCTGCAGGGAATGCGAGCTCACGCTCCGGTTGTACTCCGCATGCAAGTACTGGTTGTTGTTGATGTGGCCTATCTTGAACCCGTACTGCTTCTGATCGTCGGATGGCGATCCGAACTCGGAGGACTCGCGGATGGGTGCTAATTGCAGTTGTGCGGCTGCCGCCAACATCTCACCTGTGGGACTCGGTCGCTCGCTGCTGGCCACATCCTCGTAGGCCTCCTCGTTCAGAGTCTGCAGGGTGCCGCAGATCATCTGCTCCTCCAGCGTGACCTATTGATACAAATACTCTATTAGATGGGGCATATACTGGCACACGTTTGACTTGTTATGGGGGTTTGCACAAATGTGGGCTTAGAAATTTGGGTTTCAGTCTGTGTCTCTTAGTGTCTGAGCTTTACCTGCAAATACTCGTAGTCATGCACTTTTGACTGCATTTCGTTTCGGTTTGATTAAATGGTCGGAATAAGAATAGATCAAAGCACATGAGTTAGAGCGAATCGGTCTTTTAAAGATAATGCTGCTCGATCCTAACATTCCTAGCTGATTGTGGGCCCTTCTTACCTGTTTCTCCATATGACTGACGGAGTTCTTCCGCGACAAGGACTCTCTGGGTGGCTGCATCAGGGCATCCGTTACATCCTTGATCATCGGGACACTCGACGGCGCCTCTATGGCGGGTGGTTGCTGCTGCTGGCGCGTCTGCTTCCTTGGCAAGCGCTCGCATTCCCGCAGTGTGGTGATCAGCAGGCGGAACAGCTCCCAGTGACCAAAGCTCAGGCCCAGAACCTGTTCGTAGGGAGGGTATCATTAAAACGGGGGAAACTATGCAAATTAAACTTAATTCCTTACCGATTTCAAATCCGGCATATCACAGTGCTTCAGCACACGACCATTGATGGCATTCTCGCGGAGCACGGGCGCTAGTTTGGCCAACGCCGGTTTCATGTCCTCAATCCTCTCCAGCAGGCTGATTACTCCCTCCACGGTTAAATCGGTCAGCTTGGTTTGCAGGATGTCCTCCTGTTGAACACACAAGATAAGCGATTTCGACATTACGTTCCCGAAACATTCACAAATAGAAAACTTACGCCAAATGAATCACTTGGTGAGTTTATCAGTGGAGTGACGGGCTCTGTGCTCGAGCTGAGATTCCTGGAGCGCAGCTCATTAGCAGGATACTCTGGATTCTGGAACATTTGGTAGGGCGGATAGGCCTGCGGCGAAGGCACATATGTGGTGGGCGCCGGAAATTGACGCATGGTGTTGGAAACGCTGGGTCTGGCTTGTATTACTAGAGAGCCCTCGTCCTCGATGGTTTGCTGGTCCTCTGCGAAAGAAATTTTACTTAGTTTTTGATCTTAAATTCATCTTAAGGTTTTTTTAAAACTCACCCTTTAATACCTTCCTTAAGTAAGGATCCAGGTTAATGGTAAAAGGCAAGAAGATGCGTAAATCCGCCACGAGCAAATCTGATTTGTGCAATTGCAGAAAGGCATCCAGCTTTCGTTCATCCCGATCTAATTCCAAAAGTGGAGCTGCCTCTCTCAAATAAGCAAGTTTTGGACGCAATCTAAAGGGATTAAGAGCTTAATTTAGATTACTTTTAATTCGATTTGTAAGACTTACTTCTCATAAACGCTTTGCAGGGACACACTCTCATCCGCGTTGCCATCCATAAACTGATCGTGATGCAGCACTATCATACTGGCCCTCAAGGGCCACTGCTCGGTGAGGTTGATCCAGGAACTGAGGCGATACCAGCTGAAGTCAATCTGGAAGGCCTTGAGCAGACGCACCGTGATGTAGATCACGTTCATCAGGCGGCGCATACTTCGCGGATTCACATCACTGAAGTAATCATCTGTGAGCACGATTCGCGACAGATCGAGTACTGTTTGTGGATTCTGACCCAGGCGGTGAAGATTGGAACCTGTGGAGCTAGCGACGGATTCGGAGAGACGCAGCTTCTTTCCACCGCCTCCACGGGCGGGTCCGCGAAGCTTCTCCTGACTGGAGATTATCTCCGAGGCGTTGGACAGGCGACGAGCGGAAACCGAGTGTCCCAATGTGGGTCCATCGTCTGTCTGGTAATCGCCTCCGCCACTTCGTTTGAACAGCAGCGCTGTCATCTGCGCTCGCTGAACCTTTCTGAGTCCGGAGTTCTGGAGGTAAACTGGGAGATGCACCAAGTTCCGGAGGAAGTCGTGTCCTCCGATTCCGCCCTCCGTGAAGAGCCGTCGGCTATTGGCCTCCGCTGCCTTGGCAATCACATGGGGGTCCACCGAAATGAGCAGCACAAAGGGTCGGTTAGGTGAAGAGAGTAGCGTTTGCACCGCATTCAACAGAGTGAGAATCCGCTCCGTGTCACAGGAATCCAGAGCGTCGATCACGCCCACCAAGCGACTCTGCTGAGTGGTGAACGCATCTAGGCACTTGACCATGTCCGTCATCACGGCCACTTCGGCGCCCAGCATGGTCAATGGAGCAGACTCACTGGACCGCACCGCTCTTTTCAGCAGTCGAATGTGGGAGGTAAACAAGGATACGAACACCTTGGCAAGGACATGGAGATGCGTGCAGATCAGCGTGCCCATTACGGCAGTGGTCACATACAGTCCCACTAGTATCTGTTCCTTCTCCTGCTCATCGGCAAACGTGAAGTAGGCGACGATGAGCGATACTCCAGTGACCAGGGTAACGAGTGCCAGCTCGAAGATCAGCACAATGGGTATGCAGCACATGCGACGCCACCGCCAGCCCACATCCACTTTCAAGCACTTGGGACGGAAGGCTCGATACAATCTGGTGGCCAACCATCCGTAGTGGGATTCGATGGCATCGAGGAGGGCGGCCAGCATGTGGGCCACAGCTCCATCGCCCGTTGGCGAGGCACTGTTCGCCTCCGCAAAGTGAAACCGCACGGGTTTGGCCTGTGAATCCGACTGGGGACCCGGGGGATGGCAAAAGGCCACCTGCAGGATCAGACGCAACCTCGTCATTCGCTTCTCCAGACCGTGTTGCACGGAGTAGGCCCACTGCATGTCCATCTGATAGTTGCAGTACCTGACAGCGGCCAGCAGCAGATAGGCGAGCAGCATAAAAGCCACGGCCGAGGATACGCCCACCACCGCCGACCAGGTGCTCAGTCCCACAATCGTTCCGATGAGCAATGCCAGGTGCAGGCAGACGATGAAGAGCAGGCCACTGGTTCGGATCGGTGGTTCCGCCCATTGGCGCGCAAAGTTGTTCATCTCGTCGCGCAGCTTGTTGAGCAGAAAACTCTTTCCACTGCCCCACTTGGCGTAGAGTCCAACTGTGATGGGAGTGGTTAGCGTCGGCTCACTTAGCACATCCGCCAAGGCGGAGGAGTAGAGTTCGTAGCCCAGCATTCCCTCCGAATCCTCGTTGGTGTTCAGTCGTCTGGCGCCAAAGACCTGACCCAATATGGTTTTCTGGTGCAGCGAGTCAATGTTGTAGGGCGTTTCCCCAGCTTTGTTGGCCCGGTACAAGAGCTGGCTGTGCTTGGGATTCCGCAGGAGAGCCTCTACAATCGCCTTGCTCCTCGCCCGCATGGCAATGTGCAGGCAGGTGTCGCCTCTTTTGTCACTTGCCGTCACCTTGGCCTTCCTGTCGAGCAACAGGTGGACGATTTCCAAGTTACGATTCCTGACGGCCCTCAGCAGGGGAGTATCCCCATCCTTGGTGGCGGACTCCAGGTCGGGATTGGTGGCCAGCAGCAGTTTGACAATCGGCGTGTGTCCCTTCTCCACCGCGGTGTAAATGGCCGTCTTGCGGTCCTTGCCCTGAATATCCACATCAGCATGCTTCTTGAGCAACGCCTCTACCACAGTTCGATGACCTGCCTTCACGGCATGGATGAGGGGTGTATCTGCTCCACGATCCTGGATATTTATGTAGGCACCAGCTGCTATAAGGGAGGCGGCTATATCCTGGAAACCCTCACGACTCGCTATGCAAAGGGCGGTCATTCCGTCTTTGTCCAAGGCATTCACATTTGGTTTCTTCTCCAGAATGGAACTAACGCAATCTGTATGGCCACCGGCAGCTGCCACGAGGAGTGGTGTCCACGAATACATGCCCGCAGTGTCCACATTGGCGCCAGCCTTTAACAACGTATCCACAATCTCCACATTTCCTCGCCTGCAGGCCCAAACAAGAGCTGTGGTCCCATACTTATCACCCACATTCACTTTGGCTCCGCGTTGCACCAGGAGCTCTACGATGTCCTTGTAGCCACGCCCCGCCGCCCACAATAGGGCGCCCAGATGGTAGTTACCGTGGGCATTGCCATCAGCTCCTTTGTCCAGCAAAAGACGCACCAACTCCGTGTGTCCGCGATAGGCTGCCCACATCAAGCTCGTCCAGCCACCCTGGGAAAAGAATAAAGGATTAGCATCTAGATCTAGAGACTTGTTTGATGGATAAGGCTCACCATATCACGATGCTCCACCTCTGCGCCATGGTCTAGCAGGAGTTGGACCACATCAAAGTGTCCATTGCGGGAGGCGCATAGCAGAGCCGTCCAGTTATCCAAATCCTCCGCCTGAACATCGGCACCACGGGCCAGGAATTCCCGGACGAAAGCAGTCAGACCGCGTCCGGCCACAACCATCAACACTGTGGTGGCATTCTGGAAGGTATCCGAAAATAAATGTCAATATTTTTAAACAATATTCCAAATCAAAAACAAATCGAAAGGAATATAAAGCAGTGCATGTGAAAAACTTGAACCTTTTGTTTGCTTTTAGTTATTTTATAACATTTGCTTTTAATTGCTTATATTCCTTTTCATTTTTTAAAACTCACATCATCCCGATCATCTATGGTTAGATGTCGACTATCCAAAATAGCGCGCAGGCCGGAAATGTCATTATTATCGATGTACTGCAACAAGGCGCGATGTCCGAGCGAACCCATGGAGTCTCCAAAGCGATTTATGTTCTGCACAAAGAGGTTGAGCATTAATGGGGTATAACAAATTTGTGTAATTGAACATTAATTAATAATTGAACCGAACATCATGCAAATAAATAATGTGGGTTTGAGCAAAACTTGTACCAGTTATTCGTGTTAAAAAGCAATTAAGAGACAGGAACCATAACTCATATTTAAAAATGTTGTAACGTTTGGTTGGTGAAATACATCGATTAGAGGACTTCTGTTGCCTCCAGGGGTCATATTTGAACATTTCGCATGCTTAACCGAGTAAAGCCAAAAGAACCACAACATAAGGAAATAATTACTCTTACACATACAGAAATGGTTTATCATAGTGCTAAATAATGGTGTATTGTCAAAATTATCCATAGGTTCATGATTGAGTCACCAATCTTTGGTGCCAATAAACTAATAATGTGGGTTATAAAAAGCCACCATCAATCCTCGATGGGCAATTGTGAAATAAACAGTTCTCCAAGAAATCAGTATTTAAAGGTACGTTAATAGCGATTTTTATGGGAATTTTCTAAAAATATCAAAGGGAGTCACATCTCAGCATGATATCTAAACGACTCCCCAGACAACTTTGATCTCGTAGTCCGAAGGTAAATAGATATTCATCTAGTCAGGTAATCGCACATCTTAACGATAACGTCACAGATTGCCGTATTTGATATTTGAACAATTGCCAACCACCAACTCTCACGCATTGCAGTAGCTTGGCTTTAATTTATTTTGTTTGTTCTAATTAATTTTGCTGAACCTTCGGTCTTTGAGAGCGATGATGATGGAGCATTCAATTGAATCGATAGAACATCAACAGTTTTGTTTATTGGCTAGGCTAAAGTCGGTCTTGCTGTATTCAGATTTGGATTATTTCGCCTTCGCCGTGGGTTTAAGTTTCATTCGAAGGTGTTAAAATGCACTGGGGCGTAACGAAGGGAAGTAAAACGGTACAGTAAATACAAAATGGTAAACAAAGTTACCGCTGAATTGACTTATGTTAGATCTAATTGCTGCTTTTTAAGCACCCTAGAACGAATCGAATAATTGCGTATCAGTAACAGTAAGTAAGGAGTTGTCTGGCCGAAAAGAATAGATAGAAAATAGATTAATCAGATAGCTCAGATTTACGACTGCAAATGTGCGGCATGAGTACATATCATTAGACTCGAATATGTTTATTTATAATTTTTATCTCTGAATTTAAGTTTCAGCAATGGAATTTCCTCTATATAAGAAAGAGTTAAGTGTTAAGTTAAGCATTTTTTCCATTGGTATTTCCTTTCTAAATAAGGTATTTTGTTTTAAGTCTAAGAATTTATGTAGAACTAATAAGCCTGACTAATTTAATCAATGGGTGCTATTTACACTTGAATACTTTACATTTTTCCCCTTTTTCTTCGCAGGAGATCGCAAGTTATTCAAGCTCAACCGCGAGGCATTCAGAATCAATTCATCAAAGCTCTTTGATAGTTTCATTTTGTCAGCTGATTCTCGCTCAACAGTCTCCAGTTTTGATTATTTTTGATTTTGATAAATTGTACTTTATGTTGATGATGTGATGTCGCCTTCCGTTTAATTCGTGGTCTTTTGTACGTGCGTCAAGCTGATAAAGCGCAATGTAAACATTAAAATTCTTCTCTGCATTTGGACTGCCAGAGATCACACTAGTTACACTCTCACTGAGTGGCACTTTAATTAGGTGCCAGTATGTGCATTTTATTTCTTCATTTTTTTTTCCGTTTTGTATGCTTCGCATTTATTTTTTTCCGCACTGCAAATTAATTGACAATTTAATTCCTATGGGTATTTGGTTTCTTGTTGTACACACTGCAAGCGTTTCTTGGCCGCTGCAACCTGTCGCCTTAGTGGCTCGTCGACGTCTGACGGCGGCTTATCAAGCGTTTTGTTACCGCTACCGCTCCGCTCCGGCGGACAGTGCGAAACTAAGTTTACACGCAACCCGAAGCGAGCATCGCTTTTCTGGCCGATTACAGTCGTTGGCGGTGGGTGATGTTTGGTAGTTTGGCGGTTTGGCGGTTTCGTGCCGCAAATATAGTAATTGGCCAAAAACCGCCACTCGAAACGTGTTTGCCGATTTGGGAGCTGTGGCTTTTAGCCGCTCCTGCTGCCACGAGCGTTGCACAAAGACTGATTGACCAGGTTTTGTGGTCACAGCGAGTCTGGTTATTTTTGCACCGCCTTGCGTAAAGAGTTTCACTTGAATTTATGCTTAGAAGAAGGCCGAGTGTTCTGCTGGCTTTATTGATTCCATTAGGTTATTAGACAAGGTGTCTTTTGGTCGGGCAATTAATTAATTTTACTCGATAATTACTTGAGGGCGTGTTGAGTATATGTTACTTGATAGTTGTGGCACACTTTGAAAGATTAAGTTATACCGAAGTAGCTGTACCAGAAGTACTAGCGACAGTGACTGAAGGCGATCGATAATATGAAGACGTTTAATGAACGATTGCCAATTTGTGTGTTTGTTTTTTTTTCTTTTTTAACTTGTCTCGAGTGCCTGCAATTGAGTCGCACGTCACTCGAGTTCGCTTAATGGGTTCTCATCGTCAAGAGCTGTAGTAATGGGTTAAGTTTCGTTGCGTCAGTGGAATCACATCCCAAAGGAAAATTAGCAAAGTGCTCTTACAGCATCCGAAATATTTATAGTTTTGGGGTTACAGAACAAGTCTAATAATGATTAAAAGCCCTTAAATCAAAGCTTAAATTACTTAACACTTTTTTTTTTAGTTAACATTTTTGTAAACATTGTGCTTTGTTAACAAACTACAGCAATTAAATATTACTAATATCCTAAAAGCGATAACCTTTCCTTTAAGTGTTAAATTTTGGTGCAATTAGTAATGTCTAAAATACTGTGCATATACGTTAATCTTTTGATAATACAAAATTTAAAAATATCGTGTTTTAAATGAAAAACTAAGATCACATTTCAAAAGGCACCAAATCTCATAAGTACTTTTGGGGATGGTAAGAAGATACAAAAGTAAATAAAGTAAAGTAAATTCTTCTAAAAAATGAAAGAAATAGTTTTAGTTCGATTGTAAGAAACAGTATTTTAATTGATTAATTATCTAAAAAGCTCTTAGTTAGTTGAATATTTCAACTTTTTGTTATCGCTCAAAGAGATTGCTTGGATTTTCTTCTATCTAAAATACGGCCTGTAAAAGTGAAGTATAAACACTTTAAATGGCGATATATTTATCGATTTAATATTTGTGAAAGGTGCTAGTACTTGTATATAATGTGTTGCCCGCAACTGTATACTTAAGCACTGTTCTTGGCTGTGCGAATGAAAGAAAGACCATTCTTGGCGCATTAGTGGCACAGAGCGAAGCAGTAAACCAAAGTCAGGAAAGAAGAAGTGACTGCAGCTGGAATGTTTATTTTTAGATCCAGTGCACGCGACCCATACAGGTTTGTTTTCGATGGGAGTTATTCCCGGTTGTGTGCGATTGTGTGCGGTTGGGTGTGTATGTGTGTGGCTGTGGGTATCTATGTACATGGGGTTAGGCCAATCTCAGGGGTTAGGGTCCAACAAGCGGCAGAGCAACAAGGTTACAACACCAACTTAGCCAGGATAATTGGCATTTACGTGGGCATGGATGTGGGAGAAGCGACGCAGGGCCAGATTGAAGTGGCTGAAGCGGCGGGAAGGACTTTGGTTGGAGTGCTCCTCGGGCTCCTGGTTGGAAATCTCCTTGCCCTCCGCCGCAGCCACCGCAGCATCCGTCTCCTCCTCGATGTCGATCACGAAACGGGGCAGGGAGCTGTGGGGCTTTCTCTCGGTTCCATAACCTCGATGGGGATGCCGAGCATTCCTGTGGTTATTCGCGCTTATCACCCGCTCCTCACTCTCCAGCAGTGGCTGGTGTAGGGATTGGATGTCATGATGGTGCAGATTGCTCACCAGAGCTCCAATGGTGGAGTGACCAGTGGATATACTGGGTGAGCTTGTGGCTGGAGTTGTGTTTGTGCCCTCGGAGAGTGGAGTTTCTTCGGTGACTGACGCCTTCTTTTGTGGCTTACGTGAGTGACCATCTTTCGGCATGACTGGTGATCTGGGTTACTGTTGTATATATATGATGTATTTCAGGTGCAAATGACGAGATGCCTTAGTGCACCCGTTTATCTAGGACGTGGCTTAGTTAGTATATCATTATTTACGTGACTTAAGTCGCTACGAAAGCTTTGCGCTCTATGGCAGTTTAGCTTTATGGAATTGTTAATGCTTTTATGAATGACATGTCGTGGTCTAATTAAAGCTGTCTGAATGGAATAGCAATAGAAGCCATTCCCTTAATGAATCACAATTGACTGACTGATGCAATTTCATTTGGGGTGGACCCGAACACAAGGCCTGTCGCTCAAGCTTTGTTTCGGGATTCCCTTGAAGAGTAAAGTGGACAGGCTGATAACACACACCTAATACTCGGAAACTGACAACAGTTGGGTAACAGCGTGCCTTTCTATCACATGATATCTTTAGCTAGTTTCGCTGATAGGAAAGGAGCGCATCTCGACTATCGAGTTCCCCCTAGCACAACACTTATCACGAGAATAGGGACAATGTTACACCCGGAACACACCTCACTCCCACCCGGATTCGTCTTTAGGCGGGATTTGAACATTTTCGCCAAACTCTCGCCACTCAGTTCCGTCTTGAAGGCCGCCTTGCAATCGATGAAAGAAATGTACTATGTATGTATGTTCGGAATTCGATTTGGAACCGCCGAACGAACGTCGGGCATCGACCGCCGCCAGTAAACTGTCCGCAATTTGCATGGAAGCATCATATAAATGCCGTGGCGACGGGCACCAAACGATCCGCTCTCTATTTAGTTTTCATTAATTGGGCAAACAGACAGCACTGATGGCTTGATAACTCGGATAAGCAATGGATACTAGCCCGTATATAGCCGCTTCCTTATAAACAAAAGACAACACACAATGATTATCGTGTTAATTACCTTTTCTTTATTTCCCCCAAAGTCAAATAGAAAATGAGATTCGCACCGGAAAAGGATGAGCAGATTGGGTTATTATTAAAGATAAAGTTCTTGAAGGGAATAAGGGGCATTTTAAAGTTACCACAGAATTCGTGTGTGCTCTTTCTTGGCTAAACACAGATTTTTTCTAATAGAAGTTGTATCAACACTATAATAATTTAAGAGTAAGAAGAATTAATTCATAATTATTAGATATGGGTAATCGTAGGTTGAAATTTATTTCAATTTATATTTCCCATTATATTTTGCCCTAAACAATAAAAGCAATTTAAACATTATGGTTATTTTTAAGATTAAATATACGGTTTAAACCTTTAAGCAACGTAATATTTATTAGCTACTAGGACACAACTTTTCCATTATCAAAGTTGAATAAAGTTTGAAAACCATCTTACTTTGTATTGTTAAACAACCATTTGTTGCATCTTTGCACAAACAAAGAGCAGCATACTTTCAGGATTGAGCCATAAAGTTAATGTAGAATTGATCTGTAGAGCTTCGACTGTCAAAAGTAACTTGCTTTGGGCGTACAAATGTAGGTATATCTTTATATAGAAGGGTGTGGGCGATTCGACGCGTCGCGACTAATTGAGACGATAAAACAAACAGATGGAAAGCCGTTTGCGTTATCGGTTAAACAATTTGCTTCTGCAAACGTATAGAGCAATATCCGATAAGCAATCGCCTCAATACGTACGTAACATATGCCCACTAAGCTGTGCTTTTTGAACCGGATCACCCACCTGGCTGGGATTACCACCGCGGCCAAAGGAGCCGCGAAGGAGTCCGAAGGGGAAGATGCTGCCGTAGCCGCTCTGATCGACCCGCCGATCCTGTCCAGCACCGCTCGTCGTTGGGGTGTCCGGCAAGGGATCCGGATTCAGGGGCGACATCTCCGAGTAGGCGCGGCCCACAAGTTGAAGTTTGGGTGTGCGTCTCATTTTTACAACGATTAGATATGAGGTAATTGTAGAACAACTTTATTTTTTTTATCAGTTTTACAGCGCAAATATTTGTTTCCCCTTTGTCGGGGCTCACATAAAACTGAGCATCTCCTAGCGAAAGCGGTGAATTATACGCCACAGCACCGATTGGCATATAATATATAGTGTCTAGGCAAATTGGCAAAAACCGAGATTACAATCTATTAGAAATATATTTAAAAAAAAAAAAACACCGATTAGAGGAGCGCACGCGGTGCGCTCTGCTGGAAAACTAAATGGAATTGGAAGCGAAACCGCTGGCGCAGAAAGAGAACGAACGCCAGTCAATCGCTCTCCTGGCTCTGCTTTGTTTTATTTTTTGCTTATTGTTTTTGATAAAATGCGAAACTGTAACCCCAAAAATAACGGTGTTTATCAAACTAGGCGTGTGTGCCGAGACACACACGTGATGAGCGAATGTGGGTGATGTCGCAATGAAAACAAAAGCGAACTGTTAACTAGACTAAGAACTGCCGAAGCGTTTAATACCCTTGCTTAAATAATACAATTCCGAGGTTTTCCTCCACGTATCGAATGTACAACTTTGGTATATTGAATGTATGTACTAATGAATTCTTAGTCAGCCCAAAGGCCTTTTTAATTCTTACAATACAAATACAAAACAAAGCATTTGGAATTTTAGGTTTTTAGGAGGTATAAAAATTAACTAGGCCGCTATATATAAAAACTACAACTGAAATTAGTCCAAAAGCCATTTCTGATCCAAAGACAAAGCAAATCCTCAAAAATTGTGATTGGTTATTTCCCCTTAAAAGCTTATCAATATGGATTGAAAGTTTAATCTAATCAAAGAATTTATTGAACACTCTGAAAACTATTACAAGTTTATTAAACATTGTAAATAAACAACGATCAAAACATGATGGCGGAAATATATTACTAATTATAAGAATTTAAATACAATGAGAAACGGAATTGGCTTACATTTTCTTGAGTAATAAATAAAATAAAATTTTTTATTGAGGTGAATCATTCCTTAGGGAACCTTAGCTTGTTCTTATCCACTTCGGACTCACTTTTCACTATATTGAATATGTTTGTTTATTTGGACACTCACTCACATGGAAATTCGAGATGCGTCTGTTGCCATTAGCTGAGTTTGCCAAATGGGATTCCATGAAATGAGAAATTGAATACACCTGCAGACTTTCAGCCATATTCACGATTTTTCACTAAATCTTTGCAGCTTTGCGTCAGGTGCCGCGACAATTCGAAAACAAACTGAGACACTTCACTTGATGAAATCAGGTGCGATCAATGATTGCCAAATGTCTGATTTATCTCGCTAATTAGCATCTATTTGTGAGGAGGTTGAATTAAAGAAGATCTCAAGTACCTTTACAGATTTAGACTCCATCGCTTGACAAGATCGTTGTGGAAAAGTATAGAAATCAATACACGATCGTTTCAAATTAGCACATTAAATTTGACGAGCATTCAATTATGGTCGATGATGTATTGAAATTGTATGTCTTGATAGCTTTTAAGCTACCTCGTCACTTTGGGGATATAGAATGTGGAGTGCGCGATAACGGGAAAGATAAAGAGTGCCTTACTTTCGAGCACGAAGGGTATTATGACAGATTACATACGGAACAGTTAAGAAACTAAGAACCTATAGCCGACAGCGCTCCCTTCAAAAGTAAACAAATAACTAAATTAAATTGATGACGATTTCAAGATGAAAGCGAAAAACGGAGGGGTTCAGAAAGATTATTATTTATAAAAATAAATACGGCTGGGTGTGTGTCTGTGTGTGTGTGAATTGCAAGTTCTAGGTCTCTAAGTTTATTTATGTAAACTACTTATAATTTGGTGAGTGTGTGTGGGGAAACTCAAGAGCGAAATACAATGGCAAATAAATCAACTATTCCAGTGTTCAACTTATTAGCACATTTTGAGGCTACTCATGGGCTACCGCCATAATACTGTACTATATAATTATCGGAGTCGGTCGTGTCTACAAACAAAAGTAAGCGCATAACTATGAGACCGCAGAATCTTCGGATCGGGTTGGAACCGGATGAGCTCACCTGTTGACTGGATCAAGGGCATATATATCTGCGGGTATCCGGGTTTTTGGGGATATTCTCGGGATCTGGGATCTCAACGCGGAATGAAAACAAACGACAGCTGAGCAGCATTCATTAACAGCTGAGCGCACGTGTAACTGTATCTGTATCCGCGATGCCGTATCTGTGTGGGTGCCAGTATCTGTGTGTGTGAGTGCCAACCGAAACGTCGATAAAATAATTCTTTTCAACGGCACAAAGAACTTTCGGCACTCTAGTAACTGTTCAGTAAAACAAATATATCAAGTGAATTTACGAAAACAAAGTGTCAAACAAGCATCAAAGACTTTTTTGTTTGAGCAAATTACGGCACTTTCGCGAGGTTTTTTTGCGCCCGCACTTCACTTTGAAAGCATTACACAATCGATCACAGAAAGCTGGCGTTGCTTTTACCAACTACCATTGCCATTTAATTATTATCTGCGTATTTTATTTTGGGAGCGACGAGCGAAATTCGCAGCTCCTTCATGTGTCTATTCAGGGTTGCCACCCAGCCGAAACTGTCTTGTGCCTCGTCAGCCCTGGTGACGATGCCAGACTGTCGCCAGGCAGAAATGTCCTAAATTAAGCAATCGCCTTTTCTACCGCCTAATTTCACAACGCTTCTATTAGAAAACTTAAAAAAAAGATTAGTTAAAATGTCTGTCAGCAAATTAAATCCCCGGGAATCTGGTGAACATATTGTTAAGCATGCCCAGCACGTGCGTGTTCTTCCCGCCGGCATTGAAAAACTAACCCAGGAAATCGTAAATGGTCTAAAAGAAAAGCGCATTTCTGTAGAAAACTTTTCGCAGCACGAACTGCATCCTAACCCGAACTTTAATCAAGAGGATAATTCGAGAGCAGCCGATTGGGTCTTTGTGCTAGACACCCTTAACTTTTGCTTTTGGACACCCAGTGAGTAAATACCTAATTATAGAATTGAGCAACATCTCTTATCTTTAAGAGCAATCCTCCACAGATAACTACACCAAATACAAGGTCGAAGGTTATACCGGCTACTTTGCTCTATGTGCAGCTGTTAAAAGAGCCATCAAAGAAGGCGTGGATGTGATCAATCCCAAGTTCTACTCTAAGATTGATCTGGAAACCCTGGAGAACATTTTCCGTTCTGACGACGGGGAGACTAAGATTCCGCTGATCCAAAAGCGCCTGGAGTCGCTTCATGAAGTGGGAAAAGTTCTTATCGAGAAGTATGATGGCAGTTTTGAGAACCTGATCAAGGCAGCCGATAAATCAGCGGTACGACTGCTAGATCTCATTGTGGAGGAGTTTGCCTGCTTTCGGGATGAGGCGGAATTCGCTGGGAAGCGGGTTTCCATCCTGAAGCGAGCACAGATCCTGGTGGGCGATGTATGGTCCTGCTACAGAGGCCAAGGACTTGGCTACTTCAAAGACATTGAACAGATAACGATGTTTGCCGACTATCGCATTCCCCAAGTGCTGGTCCACTTTGGCAGTCTGGAGTACACCAACGAGCTAATGGAGTTCCTTAAATCCGATACGCTCTTGGAGAACGGTGATCCCCGGGAGGTGGAGATACGCGGTGCATCGATATACATCATTGAACTGGTCAGGGATGCTGTGGTCAAGATACTCCAAGAGCAACACCCCGAGATCTCGCTGGATAATGTTAACTCTATTGTGATCGATCAGTATCTGTGGGACTACCGGCGTCAGCATAATGCCGACTTGGAGCACATCCCCTTCCACAAGGTGCTGAGCATCTACTACTAGGCAGGGGAAGATAACTAAAATAAATAGACGACGAATGAGTTTGTTAAATTGCTTTATCCTTTAATGATCCAAAATCGGGGGCAATCTACAACGTAACGGGCTTGGCCTTGCCCTTCTGGGCAGCGACGCGCTCGTTGTATCGCTTCACGGATTCCTCGCGGGAAAGGTTTCCCTTGCGGGCGTAACGCTGGTTAATCAGGAACTTCACATCCATCTGTCGGGTGATTAAAACCATTTAAATATAACCTTTGGGAGATATTTCCTATTTCCGAATACTTACACCCAGAGTGGACTCGTGGCGTTTGCGCATTGGGCGCTTGATGCCATTGCGATGGGCCTTCTTGTTCTGGTTGTGATTTGTGTGGTTCTTGGACTTGGCCATCTTAAACTATTCCGAATATCCAAAGTTCCGCCATGGACGCACATGAAAACAGAAAATAACTTGTGTTAGGCACCGCCTTTGGTAATCCTCGAAAAAATGCATCCTTTGTGGATTTTTCATCACACCAAATGCGTTACTGTCACCTACGTTTTTCGCACACTGGAATTCCTAGCTGCAAATGGAGATTTTATGAGTTAAAACTTGAAGTAGAAAAAAACGCGGAGCACACTTACGGAAACGCAATGGAAAAGAAGGCCAAATTAGTGTGGTTGTCACTGCCCAAAGAAAATAACCTAAATAATGCCAGCCACGTGAAGTTATCGTGCTGTTATCTACGTGCTGCTAGGTGCAATATGTTCCATCACTACTGTAAAAAATGTATCTAAATTCAAAATATGTACTTACCGCCTCATTGTAAAAGACCACAAAGGCTTTGCAAAATAAATCATGGAACTGCCTTGGTCATTAACCATCGAAAATGTTAGTTGGAAAGTTTCGTTTTATCGCAAAGAATCTATACTCTCCGTTCCAAACTTCTGACTATTAAGATTTTTGTCAGAGATTTCTCCATTTTAAGCTACTGAGTTACTTTTAAAACACTAATTTAAATATTAAATTAATTCTGTTAAAAATCCTTAAAATCTAGTATTTAGTCTTTGGCAACCAACGATAGTTTTTGCCTTGTGCACGAGCGCAATACACTAACGCGTTGTGGGCTTGATTTGTTTTGTTTTCCTTACAAAAATAAACAAATTGGTAAAATACGTAGCAATTTAAAAAAACATTTAATATAAACACGATGCCACTAACTGCAGAGAGTGCTGCTCAACAGATTCAGGTAATGAACTTTGATTGGCTGCAATGTATTTAAATGGTGTTTAATGAATGTTTTTGCAGGATCGCCTGAAGGACATTCAGCAACATATTCATATTGTAGACGAAGAGCGTCGCCGGGCGGAGAACTCTATTTCCAGCCTGGTGCGATCGCTCCATGCCACCAATCAGAAGGTAAAACCCCTGCTCAAAGCCAGCTTAATGGAGGCTTCGCAGGAGGAGGCCACAATTCGCGCTGCCCTGGCCAAAATCCACGAGATTCGGAGCATTCGGAATGAGAGGCGGATACAAGGTGGGTGTTCGAATGGGTTTATTGGCAGGATTTATCCTTACTTGCTCCACAGCTCGCAATGCTGGAAACAAGGAGGCCATTCGACGAGGAGCCCTCATGAAAATGGTGCAGCTATCGGCACAAACGCTGCCCCTTTTTGTTGGCAAACTCGGAGAACGGGCACCGGCTTTGTGTGGAGCCATTCCCGCCGAGGGAAACTATGTGGCCAAGGTGGGATTAGAATTTTTAAGAAATATAAATTCTAAATTTAAGCGTAGAAGATTCTCCCAACATTTTAAATCCGCTTTGACAAACAAAAAAAAACATTTCGGAATTGAACTTAACAAACTTTCAAAACCTGCTTATCAACTTTAAATTCCTTCAAGGTTGGCGACAACGTGGCAGCCTTAGCCAAGGGAATCGACGAAGAGGAGAACTGGATCCTGGCGGAGGTGGTGCAGTTCCTCCATCGCCAGAACAAATACGACGTTATCGACATTGACGAGGAGCAGAAGGACCGCCATGTGCTGAGCAAGCGAAAGGTCATTCCACTGCCCTTGATGCGTGCGAATCCCGAGACCGACGGCCACGCCCTGTTCCCAAAGGACACGGTGGTAATGGCGCTATATCCGCAGACCACCTGCTTCTACAAGGCCATCGTCCACCGCCTGCCGCAGACCGCCACCGAGGACTACGAGGTGCTCTTCGAGGACTCCTCGTACCTAAATGGTTACGCAGAACCGCTGCCGGTGGCTCAGCGCTATGTGATTGCATATCGCCCCACGAAAAAGGGCGCCGGCAGTGGCAGCGGGAATCTCTCATCGGCTTAGACAACCATATTTTTTACTTTTAGCATTAAGCATATAAAGAGAGCTCGTAGTTTACAATATTTGGGTATTGTAAAAATAAACCACAGCTAACGCAAAATATCATCAAATATTAAAAAGTGTTTTACAAATTAAAACTACTAGCAATGGTGGTAAAATTAAAGATTGAGTTTTAAATTATATATAAATTTAAAATTTAAAAAAAATATTAAATGCTTAGATTTTCTATAAGTGGAATGCTGTTATTCTTAGGTATCATTGATAACAAAATAGGCAGAATTTTAAAAATAACTACATATAATGCGAACAAATTATAAGAAATTATGTCCCTGCTTAAAACAGTTTTATTTTTTTTAAGCAAACGGAAGTAAACGTTCTAAGGGAAAATCGTTACAAAAAATGAACACAAACATATATTGGAAATTTGTTTACAAATTAGTATTTTTCTTATATTAAATTCAACTTTTTGTTCTATTTAAAACTATCTTGGGAATGTTCCCTAAAAGGGTAATTGTGTTACAAAAAAATGTAGACACAATTAAATTTAAAAAATTACTATTCACAATAGACTACCATAGTTTGTGATTGCGATAAAAGTAAGTATTTTTAGAGAGGTATATACTGGGCATATTTTTGGTATATTTTGCATACACGGTCACTTTAGTTTCCCAAGCTAAAAAAGTTTAAAGTAAGTTCGTAGCACAACAAAAAAAAAAGGGCAGCTAAATAATATGAGTGAGACAGGCTTAGCGACGCAAAATAATGGCACCGTGGAAAATGTGAACTGCTTCGACATCCTGAGAGTGTCCACGCTCTTTGAGAGCAGTCTCCTGGAGGAGGATGATGTCCAAATGGACGCCTACTTGGCAGCCTACGAGGAAATAATGAAGTAATGATACTCAATAATCTCTGTGAGAAATAGAGCTCTACATGGTAAAGTCTCCTTCTCAGATTCTTCCAGCTAATGGGCAGTGTCTTTAGCTTTGTCAGCAGCGATGTGCGCAGCAAAATAGATATACTATACGCCCTGAGGGCCAAGGATACGGAGGAGCTGGAACACTTCAACTCCTTCAGGACCATGTTGGAGTACGAGAAGGAAGCCCAGTTGCTCAACCAGAAGGGATACGTGTCCGGGAGTCGCACTCTGCTACGACTTCATCGCGGATTGGGTGAGTGGCTTGGTTCTTCAACTGCCACATTGGCTAATTGATTGTGGCTGTCTTATCTAGACTTCGTCTACGAGTTTCTCAATCGGATCCAAGCGATACCCGACGACCAGAAGACCGTGGACGTGTGCAAAGAGGCCTACGATGACACCCTGGGCAAGCATCACTCGTTCCTCATCCGGAAAGGAGCTCGCCTGGCCATGTATGCCATGCCCACGAGGGGAGACCTGCTGAAACGGGTATGCCCCGACGTCGAGGTGGCCAAGGAGAACCTGCCGACCATGCTGGAGCACATGCGAACCAACTACGACCGGACGGATCAGCTCTACACTCTCCACGACCTTCACAGCCTGCCTTAGAATCTACCACGTATCCGGGGTACTCCAGCGATCTGATAAAGTGTGCAAAAGACATTGGTAGATCATAAATTCTGTATGAATTCCTCAATCAGATCTAGTGGACCATCCCAAACTAGTTTATGTAGCTTAAATTGTCTGTGTTGAGTGCAACTGCAAGTATTTGTTTCCCAAAAGCCTGTAAGTTTTAATATAGCATTTTAAATTGCCTGCAATCGCTCATCGATCGCCTTGTCCGCAGGCTGTGCAATGTTTCCCGAAACCCCCGTATATTAACGCCATAAAAGCTTTAGTCATGAATGAACAACTTGCCTTATCTGGGTGTATTGAACTTGGACAACCCGGACAAACATAGTTTCTCATGTCTCTCCTGTCCCAAATATAATAGCATAATAAGTGGGCTGGATTAGATAAGCTTCTGGAGAACGCGCTGGGTATCTTAACTCAATTTGCGCTGCCTCATAAAAAGCCAACTTCGGATACGAAAAACCTCGGGCTATCTAGATGGGCTATCATCTTATGGTCCAAGACAAAGGCGCTAAACTCTCGCATATCCCCAGAATTCGGTCAAGATATATGGCCGTTCTCAGGTTCAACGATCTAATTTTAGTGCGCGAATTGCAGCAATGGCCGCCATTTGAATTGCATACTACTTGCGCTATTGATTGTGCCTAAGTCTTTATCACTATGTATCACTATCAAAAAGCTAGAAACAGGTAAGAATGGTGTTGTTGTGTGACCACTTTATCGCCGGACAGCCAGTCCGTTGGGCCAAGTGCAAAAGCGTAGAAGATGGTGGTTCTCCGGACAAACAATCAACCGACGTCACCACTTCGCCTGGGAGCGTTGAAATCATTAAAAGCGCCTTTACCCAGCCGTTTTGGCTCATTTTGAATCCGTCGAGCGACGCGACATGGATGCTTCCAAGCAGACGAATCTTAAACGCGAGCCTAATCCGTTTATAAAGGCCAATTTTATCTCCAAGTGGCTGTTCCTGTAAGACGTCTTTTATTTCTTATGGGTGAAAAGTGAAATTCTTTTGCGAAAAACGGATCACGGCTAGTGAATCCATGACCATGGTCAATCAGTGAATAGTTTACGACACGCGATAAGGTCATAGTGATAATTGGTGCTCGGGAGTGCCTATAAACCATATCGAGAGCCATATAACCCGAATTACTCAGATTTATAAAGTGCCCAGGAGTCTGCCACGGAATATGGAATATCTCATCTAATGGATTCCGTCGTGATCTATTTAATGTATTCCATTGTAAAAAATATTAAAAACAAACATTGTTACTGCCAAACCCTTTTTTCTTTTTCTATTTCAAATGGAAGCATTTCTGTATACAAGGAAGATACGAGATATGAGTTTACTTAAAAAAAATAATCCAAACTTAAATTGAATCCGTCCGATTTTTATAAAATTTTAACCGCGTTTCTTAATTGTGTTCCTTTTTTTTGGAGTATGTGAATATATCCTTAAACACAATAAAGTTATAATTTTTGTCCATTATTTTTCCGGTTCTTTAAGTGCGAGGCAAAAGACATAGTCGTCCAATCTTCCCCGTTTTTATAGAACGAAGAAAACAATGACATACAAACCAAATCGTGTAGGAGTGATGCTCCTAAACAAGTATATCTATGCTTTCTATGGTATGGTACTATATGGTATTGCGTTTACTTCTGACTGAAATAATATCATACGTTACATATATTTTCTGGTCAACTCTAACAAGATTCAGTATCTTGAACTATTTTATTTCGCAATTTCGAATGACCATCGGGAGTCACGTAGTAATGCTTGGGATCAGTGTCTGTCATACTATAGACACCCATGGTGGGGATATATTGATAAGATACTAAATTACTTATCAATTTTTCTTCCTTAGATGGATGCACAGTGTTTTCCGCAAGGGCCGACGTGAGGAGTTGGATGCCAGTAAGTTGTACGAGCACCTGCCAGGATTCGACAGTGAATCCCTGACCAGGAATCTTCAGCCCCACTGGGAGAAGGAGTCCCGGAGCAAGAACCCCAGTCTGATGCGTCTGATCTTCCGAGTTTACGGCTGGCAGTTTGTTCCCGTTTGTGTTTTATACTCTTTGTTGGAAATGGCTATCCAGTAAGTAATAGAGGGTTTTAATTGACCAAAGGGTTTTAATTAATAATAACAGTTAAGGATCTTTATATTTGAAAAACCTTAACTTTAAACTAATGAATCATGAGCTCAATATACATGATGTATTTTCGCACCTGATCTTATCTTATCACTTTTGGAATACTAAAAATATGTTTCCGTTGTTTTCAAAAGAATGAATCACTTTGATATACATAACAAGATTTTCCTGAATATACACATCTGATTGATGATGATGAGTTCGGTTTTTATCGCAGCTCCTTTCAGCCGTTGCTGCTCGGTGGACTGATATCGTATTTTGCATATGGACAGACGACAGTGAGCAAGGAGAGTGCCTACCTGTATGCCATGGGCATTGTCTTGTGCTCCCTGGTCACCTCCTTGGTGTTCCATCCCTTCATGTTCCATGTGTTTGCGGTGGGAACGAGGGTGAGGCTAGCCTGTGCCGGCCTGGTCTACCGGAAATGTCTTCGGGCCTCGGCGAGCAGTGGCGAAGGACTCGGAGCCTTGGCCATTTCGGTGATGTCCATTGATCTGTCCCAGTTCGATTTGACGTTCTACTTCTTTCACGACTTGTGGAAGGGACCTGTGGAGGCCTGCATCTTTGGCTACCTGATGTACCGCCAGGTGGGCTGGACATCTCTGATTGGGATCGCCTTCATCGTGATGTTGATACCACTCCAGGCTTGGGCGGCCAAAGGTGCTGCGCACTTCGGATCCCAATCCGCAAAGCACCGGGATGAGCGGGTCAAACTGATGAATGAGATCATCAGCGCCATTCAGGTGATCAAGATGTATGCGTGGGAGAAGTCCTTCGGACGACTGATCGCCGAAGTGCGGCAGTCGGAGGTGAAGGCCATCCGGGGATCCATGAGCATCTACGCCGCCTTGCAGTGCACCAACATGATCTCCAAGATATCGCTCTTCCTCAGCCTCATAGCCTATGTCTATGTGGGCGACCTTGTGACCGCCAAAAAGGTGTTTATCCTGTCCTCCTACTATGGCCTACTAAACGATTCCCTGCTGCACTACTGGCCCATGGCCATAACCACTTGGGCCCAGACTTTGGTCAGTGCCCGTCGTGTGGTGGAGTTCCTCCTGCAGGCGGAGAAGCCCGAAGAGGAGTCCTGCTGCCGGGACAACCCCGGACTGGAGTTGGATGCGGAGAAACCGAAACCGGCGCAGAGTGGCCGTCTGCATTGCGTGAAGAGCGAGTCGAAGTGCCTGAGTTTCCGGAAGGTGAGCGCCAGTTGGGACAAGACGAGCATGAAGCATCCCAGGAAGCCACACATCGAGGGCATCTCCTTCCACATCAATGCCCAACAATTTGTGGGCATTGTGGGTAACGTGGGCTCTGGCAAGAGCACCCTACTCCATGCCATTCTCGGCGAGATTGAGCTGATGCGGGGACGTGTGGAGATCCATGGCAGGATTAGCTATGCCGCCCAGCAACCGTGGGTTTTTCAGGGCAGCATCAGGGAGAATATCCTGTTTGTGGAGCAGTACGAGGAGCAGCGATATCGGGCAGTGGTCCATGCCTGCCAGTTGGACAGAGATCTGGAACTGCTGCCTCGGGGCGATGCCACCGTTGTGGGCGAGCGAGGAATCAGTCTGAGTGGTGGCCAAAAGGCCAGGATTGCTCTGGCCAGAGCTGTGTACCGCCAGGCGGACATATACCTATTCGACGATCCCTTGGCCGCCGTCGATGCCCAAGTGGGCAAACTGCTGATGGACAAGTGCTTCCATCGCCTGTTGGCCGGCAAAATGCGCATTCTGGTCACCCACCATGTCCAGCTGCTCAAGACGGTGGATCATCTGCTGCTCCTCGAAGGAGGAGAACTCACCCAGCAGGGTAGCTATGAGCAACTGAAGGATGTGATCACCCGTCATGCTGCTCTGGATCTGGAGGGCATTGAGGCGGACAAGCAGCAGGTGAAGCGAGTGCTCAGCCAGGTGGACAGGACATCCAAGCTCAGCAAGGGCGAGGTGGAGCATCCAAACGCTGATCCAGAGGAGCATGGCCACCAAGAGCAGCAACTTCAGGGAGCTGTGAGCTATGATACCTACAAGGCTTACTTCCGAGCTCTGGGTACCCCGTTCTTGGTCTGCCTGGTGCTCTCCATGTTTGTCCTTGCCCGCGGATGCCAGGCACTCATGGACATCTTCATCTCGCGGTGGGCCACCTGGGAGGAGGACCGCGGCTACGATTCGGCGGATGACTACGAGGCCACCCGCACCAAGATGGTCACCTGGTACACGGTGCTCCTTTTGCTCACACTGGCTCTGTTCCTGCTGCGCACCTTTGGCTTCTTTTTCATGTGCCTGCGCATCTCGTTGACGCTGCACGACCAGCTTTACCATGGTGTAATCCGAGCCTGGATGTACTTCTTCAATGCGAATCCCTCGGGAAGAGTGCTCAACCGTTTCTCCAGTGACATCCAGAACGTGGATGTGAACCTGCCGCAGGCCATGATGGATTCTCTTCAGGTTTGTTTTCATAAAAATGTTCTTTGTAATGTTCTTTACAAAAGCTTCTCCTTCGAATGATCTCTGATAGTTTCTGGTGGATGTGGTGGCTGTGCTGGTCATTGTGGCTATTGCCAATTATTGGCTTCTGATCCCAGCGGCCATCATGGTGCTGCTCCTGTACCTGTGCCGTGCCCTTTATATAGGAGCCAGTCGGAGTCTGAAGAGGATTGAGAGCTTAAGTGGGTATAAATCGTCTCTAGCAATGCACTTTACTTATGCTGAAACACTACTTTGTGAACAGCCCGCAGTCCAATTTACTCGCACACAAACCAAACCTTCCATGGCCACTCCACCATTAGATCCATGGAGGCCATGCCGCAGCTGGAGCAGACCTTCCATGGCCACCAGAACACAAACTCCTCCGCTCTGTTCCTCTACGTTAGCGCCAATCGGGCGTTTTCCTTCTGGACAGACCTGATTTGTGTGGTGTACATTCTGGCCGTTACCTTCAGTTTCCTGGTTATCAATCAGAGCTTCTACAGCGGCGACGTGGGCTTGGCCATCACACAATCCATGACCTTGGTGATCATGTGTCAGTGGGGAATGCGGCAGACTGCCGAAATGGAGAACAACATGACCAGTGTGGAACGAGTGCTGGAGTACGCGCAGACTCCATCGGAGCCACCGCTGGAGAGTCCGAATGGTGTGAATCTTCCCTCTGAATGGCCAAAGGCCGGTCACCTCCGGTTGCGAGATCTCCGCATGCGATATGCCCCGGGAGATGAGGACATCCTAAAGGGTCTGAACTTTGAGTCGCAGCCCATGGAGAAAATTGGCATTGTTGGTCGCACGGGTGCGGGCAAGTCGTCCATTATTCAGGCGCTGTTTCGACTGGGACTCAACGAGGGAACCATTGAGATCGATGGTCTCGATATTGGCCAATTGGGTCTCCACGATCTGCGCAGTCGAATCTCAATAATACCCCAGGATCCAGTACTGTTTTCTGGAACCCTGCGCTTCAATCTGGATCCCTTCGGCGAGAAGAGCGATGAGTCGCTGTGGAGCGCTCTGGAGGATGTGAAACTGAAGAAACATGTGGCCTCTCTGGAGGGAGGTCTCTCTTGTCACCTGAAGGACGGTGGCTCCAACTTCAGCATGGGTCAGAGGCAACTGGTGTGCCTGGCCAGAGCTGTACTGCGGCAGAATCGAGTTCTTGTCATGGATGAAGCAACTGCAAATGTGGATACTGAGTAAGTCTTTAAACAAGTGGTTTAGATAAATGTTTCTTATTACGCACTTACCTTCCAGAACCGACATCCTGATCCAGGAAACCATTCACACGAAGTTCGCTGAGTGCACGGTTCTCACAATCGCACACAGATTGCATACTGTGATGGATAACGACAGTGTGCTGGTGATGGATGCCGGCAGGATTGTGGAATTTGGAGCACCGCACAAGCTGCTGCAACGCAAGGATGGAGCTCTACTCAAGCTGGTCAATCAAAATGATGCCGCCACAGTGAAGTTTCTCAAGAAGATTGCAGCAGAGAGTTACAGGCGTCGCAACCAGAGGGATTCCCTTACAATAGCAGAGGAACAACTGGAAGATTGAGCAGCAATCGTCGCCTGGAAATAGGATCTAATCCGACAAGCTGCGGCCTTTAGAAGTTGTACTGCCGCGAAGGACAGTCAAATTCGGTTTTATTGGTACGAAAAGTGTACGATAAAGTGTATTTACATAGCAGTAGAATTATGCTAGTACTAATGATAGTTCGGCACTTAAAACGAGGAGACTCTGACACACACGCGCGCGCACACACACAGGATTACAAAATATATGTATATATATATGTATGTATGTATGTAGGTAATATATCAAAACTGTAAACTTGATGGATAGCCTAGGATGATGGTAAACGTTCCATTTAAAATAACATTAGGTATTGACATGTATGGGATAAAACTAGGATCAGAATGACTCTCTGATATGCTCTCGAACGGAAACATAACGCTCTTTATATGTATATGCTATACAAGTGCTATGCTATGTACACAGAACGCTAAAACACAAAGAATATATATATAATACGGTCAAACCACATCCGACTCGGCGACAATAGCCGCTTCCTCCTGCTATTCGATCCGAATCCGATGCGATGACCGACGCAGTGCGGCAAACTCCTTGAAGACCAGTCGCCCCAGCAGCACCATTGCAATGATGTCGGCTGCGATGAGCATGTGGAAGACATACTGCCATCCGGCAGTGGAGATGAGTCCGGCCAGCAGTGGACCCACTGCCGCTCCAATCGACCCAGTGCCATCGATAATGGCCGTCACGGTGGACAATGCATTGGCATTGCCCTCCAGGGAACTGTGCTGACCCAGCTCTGCACTCACCGACGTTGTTATCAGAGCATAAGGACCGTTCACAAAGATGCCGACCACAATCAGAAGCACTATGCTGATGGTCATTGACAAGGCACCATATTGTTGATACATCAGCAGCTGAACGAAATAATATTTGTAATATTTGCAATGATTGTGTGCTACATTTAGGGTACTTACAATGGGCGAGGCAATGAACAACATGCCTGTACAGACGGTGGCCGACATTCCGCTCACATCCGATAGATAGCCCGCAGCTATGGCTCCCAAAATGCCACCCACATCGAAAAGTGTGGACAGATCAGCGGACAGCTCCGGGCCCAATGTGCCTGCATAAGAAGATATTAGTTATTGAAATCTATTCACATCTAATTAAGTATTTGTGTATACTAACTAGATTTCTGAATGTAGAGGGGCAGCCAGTACATAAAGGTGTAGCTGACCAGTTTGGTGAAGAACAAACAGAGGGAGAACTCCACCACTCCGGGTATGTACAAAGCATCGATCAGGCTGATGGGGCGTCCGCGACGCCTGGGCTGTGGCGGTGGCTGGGAACGCGTGAGGATTGGAGTACGCTCGGTGGGCGCCGATCTATAGTTGATTTCCTACAAAATAGTGAAATTAAAATAAGTCTTTTGTTGCAAATTGGGGACTGGGCAAAAGCGCGAAATGTACACAAGCGGAGTGGCCAACACACCGTGAAAAGCAAACAGACTGTCATGCACTTACGGTTTCGGAAGAGTCGTACCCCAAACTGACCACACACTACGGCCGAGCAATGTACGTTTTAGAAATTATATAGTTGCAACATAATACGCTGCATGCGGAACATCAATCAAGAATTGCAACTGATACTTACGGCATCGTTGTGGCGCACCTGCTCCTCGTCGTCCTGCTCCTCATCCGACTCGTTGGCCATACGACGCTCCTGCTGACCCGTTTCTGGATAACATCCCACTATCTCCGGCTGGTCCACAAGGAAAAGGAAGAGCAAAAAGCCCACGGCTCCAATGATGATGCCGGGCACCACAAACGACAGCGCCCAATCGCTTTCCACATAGTGCGCCGCTATCAGCGTGCCCAGAATATTTCCGATGGACGTATGACTGTTCCAGATGCCAAAGATCAGGCCGCGCTTGGACTTTCCGAACCAGCGACCCACGAGCGTCACGACGCCTGGCCATCCGGTCGTCTGGAAGATGCCAGCCAGTATCTGCACGAGCACAAAGTACCACAAACTGTGGATGTTGGAGGTGCGGGCAATGCCAAACATATAGGTGAACACTCCGGTGAGGATCATGCCCATGGATAGAAAGTAGCGCAGGGAAACGCGCTCCGCCACAAAACCAGAAGCGAACATGGCAATGGCATAGGAAAAAAGGAAGGCCGAGTCCAGCATGCCAAAGAGTGTGGTGGCATCGGGAACATCTGTGAAACAGGTACACTTGGTTTAAAAGGCTTCACTAAAGCTGAAGGATAAACTTACCAAAGGGCGCATAGCCACATTCGTGACTCGATGCCGCCAGGGAAGTGGAACAATTTCCTTGGAGCACGGACTTTACCACGGAGATGGGTTTGCGGCACATGTGGTAGCAGGCGTAAGCCAGGAAAGTTAGCACAAACACAGACATCTTGTAGCTGCAAGAGAATCAGAGAGCATAAGTTAGTGTAAATCTTTAAAAACCCACTTTAAGGAACTAACACGGTAAACAAATTTATAACATTAAATGTATTATAAGAGCATTTAAAACAGAGCCCAAAAAACAAGTTGTTACACAATATAGTTATAGATATCCTGAATAGTTAATAATTGGAACAAAATATTGCTAAGGGACGCGGTTAACTACACTAAAGAAATGACTGTTGAACGTACTAGCGTGTGTCAGACTCGATCGGTTTATGAGAAAAGGGAAAATTTGGAATATTAGTTAACATAAGAAAGCGACCACAAATTTGATAATATATCTTTTTTTTGTGTTTCGTGTGAATCAGACCTAAATCATTTTCGTTGCTATAAGCAGCATTAACCAATTCGCTTTATTTTAAGCTTAAATCAGATTTTACATTCAATACACATAATAATAATTAAGATGGGCACTTAATCTGTTTGAAAAATTTAAAAGTTAAATGATTTATTAACCTAAAATTATAAATATTGATATACTTATCATGCTTTTAACATAAGTGTTACATCAATATTGACCCAAAAGATGTGATGACCTATAAAATAGTTTATCTCCTGGGCAGATATAATATTCTATGCAGTATATTTTATTAAATAAAAATAAATTAAAAAATTCAATTCATATTTTTAAACTTATAACTATTAAGAAACATACATTAATATAGAGATTATCAATAGGGGATGCTAATGGTACTTTAATGTAGGGGATGTATTCAGGAGGTATACTCACAGCAGATCTCTGCGGGCGTGGAAGCGGGTGCAGCAGTGGCGCGACAGCCGCTGCACCGCCCGGATGCCGAAGGGCACGTCGTTGTAGTTGTTGCTCATCTTTCGCGTTCTGGCCAGTCCCAGTGGAGCTCTCATCGACAAGTGGTGCTCGTCCAGGTGGCTGCGTTCCCGTTCCGGTTGCGAAGAAGTCAGCTACCTGAAAGCACAGCGATCAACAGGTAGGTGAGTGATTTGGTTCTGGTGACTCAGTTCGAGATACATTGTTCGAAATGCAGGTAGAGTGGAGTGGGTCGCGGTTTCTGGCAGGGCCGTGGAATCGAATCGAATCGAGTGTGTGCGGATACAATATCCGAACTTATCACTATATGTATCCGTAGTTTTCTTGTTTGCGTCGTCGAATTCGTTTCGCTCAAACAATGACGCTCCGTATCGCAGTCGTAAATTGAAATGCGTTTCCGCTCGCTTCACTTCTATTCTGCTGCGTTGGCGAAAATTTTCCAACTTTGATAGCGTTTGTTTTCACTCTAAGGTTAAGATAAGGGATCGCAACTTATTTATCTCAAAGAATGCCGACAGTTCCACTTTTTGATAACGGATCACAAACTACTACTGATACAGAATATATCCAACTGTGTTTATTTACTTTTCAATCACTTGTCCTTATGAATTTACAGAGTGTTCCAGCGTCGACTAGTGCCGGATATTTAACCTTTTGTTTGTGGTCGCCCTCAAAGAACGGGAAATCGGGCGAAAACTAACACAAAGCTGTTGATTCAATAATGCGACATTGAAAAGCAGCAGTTAACTTGTATTATTACCGTTAAACACACACTAAACAGCTGCAGTAAACATTACTCCGTCCGAAAAATAACAAAATAGAGATGGAGAAACATCGATTGCTTTTTGCGACTATCGATAGCAGCTGCCAGTGTGACCTTCGCTGCATGATACATACTAATATTTTTAAATACCAGATTTCCGTTTTATTTTTACAGTTTTCTTTTATTTTAAAAACTATTGCACTTGTTGTTCGGGAACAATTTGAAGGAAAACGTTTTTCTCATAACATAAAAAAATGCAATTTTGGGATTATTAAAAGATTTGCGTTTTCAATTCCTATAAAATTTCGCAAGAAACATAAAACATTTCCAAGTTAATTTATTAATAATATTATGCAGTGTGAGTTAAAATCTTATCTCGGTCAAATTTGGTTAACTAAAGTAAGCTATTTAAAACTAATGGCATAGATTTGTGAAATTGTTTCATAATTGTTTATTCTTCTTCATAAAATTTGAATAAAAAGGATACAATTCCCGACGTATATACGTTTACCAACAACAAAATTAATTTCCTGTTTTATAAGAGCAATAATGTGATAGCATTTACTTTTTTGATACGCCATATATTTAGGTAATATTTGAGATTCATCACTTGCCTTTAGATTTACACATACAATTAGACGTTGACACTTAATCGCAGGAACTACAATTCCTGAGATCACTGGCTAATTATTTCTTTCGACACGCGACCGAATGAACAAATAAGAGTTAGTCATACTTTTTAGTTTCAGCCTGTTGACAACAGACCAGCAGCTCAGGAAAACACAACTCAACCGCCCATGTGCACATGACCTGGCTTTTCAATCAGATTCGACTGAGAGCGGAAAATGCTCTGCTTTTCAGCACCCATACGCTAATTTCCTCCGCCTGCAGTGTGAAAATCAAGGCGAGAAACAAGAACAATTGGAGGTGCTAATCACGGCGAGCAAAAACATTTTGCCCATTGTATAAATTGCGGGAACCAGCCAAGTGAAGCCACAATTGACAACTTGCAGTCCAGCTAAAACCAAGTTCACTTTTGATAACAAAAATGAACTTTCAACAGGTAATTAAAATTAATAACTTGAAAAGTGTAATTCATCTAATAGAAATATTTATTTTTTTACAAAATAGATCATCTTTCAACTGATCGCCTGCTTGGCGTTTTTTGCGCAAGTATTTGGTTATCCTCAGGAGCGAATTTCTTCAGCAGAACAGATCCAAAGACTGAGATCTGCCACAGATGCAGAAAATCAAGCCCTAACATCCAGTGAAACCCTCGAAAACTTATACAGATATGAACGAACTTTAAGCAGACTGAGGAGAGCCCTGGAGGAGTTGGCCTATGAGGAGGCAGCCGATGACATGGAGCTGGCAGAGATCAATGTATTCCGACCTCTGTTCCGATATCGATCGCAGGTGGTGAAGGTGAAGAATCCCAACTCCCAGCAGCAATTTGGCTAACTGCTGAAAAATAATTGATAAAATAGACTTAAGCTTACCCACCTCGCCACATTTCACAAAAACTGATCACATGCCATTGATATTTTTTTATACAAACCTAGCTTCTTAAGAAATAAAAGAAAACTAATTTAAATTGTTAAACATTTAAATATTTTATTAATTTACTGTTGTATAACCTATGCGCTTTGCAAATATCCACACGTGATTAAGCATATGTACACACCAATCTATATAGTTCTCATTTTCTTTTTTCATGCTTCCACATTGAGCACATTTACATGAAGGCTTTGTGGATGACACGTGAATTCCTTGCATTGCACTATTTTGGAAGGATCCCTAATATAAACACACCGACACACATACACACACGCATTTTTGACTAAGGAAGACACAAAGAATATTGATTTCTAATTCTACAATATATTATTTATAATATGATGGACACTCATCGAGGGTTGCACTATATTTTTTGTTTCTGACTAGGCAGCTAACTAACTCTCGTTTAAACCCTGTAAGACTCCCCTAAGCTGCAGGAAATTAAAATAACAAATTGTTGCAACCCAATACAAGTACACACATATACAATATAAATCTTATACGAAAATCGTTTGCCATGGATTACATATATTCTGTTTGATGGGAACATTCTGCCCACCTTCTCTGCTTGTAAATAGTAAAGCTGCTAGCCAGCTTATGAAAAATATTCACTCTACTTACTCTTGACTTAGACAAGTTACTAGAGTTGCTAGTTAAGTACATAAGTAGTGTTGTTCTCTGTTTGGTTTAGTTTAGTTTAGTTTAGTTTAGTTTAGTTTAGTTAAGTTAGTTGGTTTTGGTTTTGCTCCTATCGCTTGGTTCCATTAAGTTGCTCGTACACATAGTCGCTGCTAGCGTTATTATGTCCCTATGTTTTACATTAAATTTGATTTAATTTTTGATTATCAGGCTTAAGTTAGACATTACAAATAGCTGGTTGCCCGTACATGTATGTAAGTTTGCAAATGTCTGTTTACAGGGGAATTGGAGAGCTTCGAACCGTCGAAACCTGTTTACATATTAGATGAGCCCATCTGGTAGCACTTAGAGATAAAGCTTTCTGCCTGCCGGTTATACACATATATATTCACATATCGACACACTTAACCCCTACGTAAGTATATAGACAATTTGGTTGTTTTGTTCGTTCCGTGTTCCTTTAGAGCACCTGCAGATTCTCGCAGTGCTTGAACTTGGAGTCCTCCTTGCCCAGGATCCAGGTGAGCATCTGGCGGGCCTTCATGCTGGCCAGCATCACGCTGCGGCTTTTGTACCAGTGCGCCGGCGAATTGGCATCCCTCGGACCCTGAAACTCAGTCATATATAATATATCAGATAAATCAAATTTACTCTTTTCACTGAAAACGGCTTAAGTTCGTGGGCAAAATGCATTAAAGGGGGGAGAGGGAAGCCAGACTTCGGTTTATTTACATTTGGCTCTATATTCAAGTGGATGTTTATGGCCCTGCAATACAGTTTTTTTTTATTTCGGGCGCCAATTGAAATTGCATTTTTCATGTCCTTTGTGCGGATTCTGGGAGTGGGCACAGGATAATAAACAACAAACAAACAAAACACTTTTGGCAGTATACTCGGAATAGTTTCTGTACTTTTGGACACTTGACACATATTCCTTGTTCGCTAAGTTGGCTTGGCAAGAGATCTGGGAACGGGATGGGAGCCTTATATATTATGTATACAGTCCAGACACACATAAACAGGAAGTTACAGCCTCGATAATAGGGTTTTTTACATTCAAAGTGCCTAAAAGTAGGCAGTATATTTTTGTATTTCGACGTTTAGCATACATAAGCGTGTAAAATATATCTTTGCATACTTTTAGACACCTAAAGAAGGGATTTAAACTTTAAAATCACCTATAACTTAGACATGCTTTACTTGGAGTCGGGTAGGGGTTTGGAAAAACATATCAAACATCGATTAAGTTCTGTCCGCATGGGAGGTAGTTTAAAGTTTGAAGTGGGTTTTTGGTCGGGGGTACGTTCAGCTTTACTTACCCCTTCGCTGGCTTTTAGATCAGTCAGACAACTATCAGTTTCTACAGTCTCTACGTTTGTGTTTTCTCTAATTTTGCTTTTATCTTTTGATTTTTTCGGATTAAGCTGCGAATCGATCGATGGACATTGATTACAAAACACCAAAAACAGAGATAGATGGGAGGACAACCAGCTAGTCAGCTAACTGTTACGGCAACTAGAGCTATCGAGAGCTAGATCTAGACCTAAATGGGTTTCTAAGGACATTTGGCTTACCTGCAGCTGATTTTGGTCCTTCTTCAGCCGAATCTGGGTGAGCGTGCCCGCCAGGAGCTCGTCGCAGTTGTGATTGATGCCCACGGAGACCTCGATAAACTTGGCTCCGAACGTGCAGGCCACACATTTGCCATCTGGGGAGGGAGCAGAATGGAGTGGATTCGGTCAGGTCACGCCACTTAATTGACGATGTAAATGAATGCAGCCAGTTGGCGGCGGCTAATTGCAATACTCACCCTGCGCGGAAACGGCGCGTGAGCGGGCCAAATCAATTTTGTTGGCCACCAGGATGGTGGGCCGGTGGCGCAGTAGGTCCATGTCCTGCAACCGCGATAGTATCTGCTTGGCCCGCGTGAAGGACTCCTTGTCAATGCAGGAGTAGACCACCAGAAAGGCATCCGCCTGCTCCAGGTCGTCCTGCAACCAAACAAAGGCCCCAGTTGAAAAACACGAAACTCAACAAGTTTACAACATTCTGCAATCTGACTTTCGTGACTGACGAAAGTATTTAATGCCGTATTTTATTGCAGCCCGACCGAGGCGAAATTAAAAGTTGTTAACTGCGAACCGTCAAGTGCAGGCGTTGAGCGAAAATTCAAGCATCCAACCAACCATCCAATGCAACCCACTTTTCCGCCTTTCCGGCTTCCTTTTGTTACCACCCGGTACTTTTGCATTTTATGCTCGTAAAAACTAAAATTATGGCCACTTGGCATCGCAATAACGTGGCGAACGAAGGCAACAACTTTCCGACTTGCTCAGACTTTTAATGATGTTCATTTATCTGACCCATACATTAACAGGTCAGCGGGACGGCTCTATCGGCGAACAGGTCCTTCGAATTTCACTTCAGGTATTTTCTCTTTAAAGGTGAGAATGCGTTCATTCTTAATTAGCATTTCAAGGTGTATACATTTTGGTTTCACTTGTTTTTTAATATTTTTTTGACTTGTTAACTAAATCAAGTTATTGCTAGACTTCGGATTATATGTAAAACCATATGAAATTGGCTTCATAAAATCAAAATGCAATTGATGCTTTTCCCAAATGATATTTTATGAACAAAGTTTGTGTGCAATCAAAGCTAGCAATGAAACAACTATTACGAACATGGTTTTATATGTAGATCGGCTAGTTGTTACGTTTAATCCAAAAAATATTTGCTCACCAAAAGCTTATTTCAAATGCTTATTTGTTATTCGAGTATTTTTGCGATTTTAGTTTTATTTTTTTAAGTTAAATAAGCTTTCCGATAACCTGTGCGAGTTGATAGCCGCAAACAATCCAAATGCTAACTTCACAAACAAATAAAAAATTGGCGAAAGTGAAAAGCAGAAGAAGGCTTTGTAGCTGAAAGACATTTTCCATTAGGTTTCTTGAGGTATTTCAGCTGTCCAATCCTTGGGCAAATACACTTTGTCGGCGGTGACGTCGGCAGGTTCAGGGTTTCTGTTCCCGCCCGGGGTGTTGGCTTCCGATTCCGTGCCTCATAAAGCCACGCCGGGCACATCCGACATTTGTAAATTTGGCACTTGGCACTGGGCACTTGGCTCCAAGGTGCTCGGGATTGGCGGTGGCTTAAGGTCAAACCTTAAGCAATTTATTATTTGCTTTTGCACAACTTTTCGGCACCATGCACGACCGCCTTAATTCGCTTGATTTTTGTGTCACATCCCCGAAATGGATAAATTGTTACCGTTTCCTTTTGTTTGTGCTCGTTCGCGTCCATGTCGTCATCACCATCACCATCACCATCAGCATTTCCATCATAGCAATCGTCATCGGTGATTATAATTATTATTGTCATTATCGTGTTCATTTGTATTGTTTGCCACCCTCAAAAGACGGTGGCAAACGGCCCGTTGGCCATTTGGCATTCGTCCAGCAATTTGGCATTTCGATTGCACAGTGGCTCATATTGTTGTATTTATATTTGACTTTCCGCAGTTGTTTTTTTTTTTACCGACCATTGCAAATCGTTTTGGTTGCAGGCGGCTCCCGTCTGGCAGGATTTTAAATGAATTCCTTAAATGATTTCAGCCGCCAGCATCTCCAACATTCCGTGCACTTGGCCATAATTAACCGCAGTTCGCAGCCAGCTTGCTATGAAAGTTTTCCCGGTTTTCCTAGTTTTTCCCGAGTTCCGTTGCCTTGGTGGTGGTCAGGTGACTAGCGTTCTCTACCAACTCTCTCTCTCTCTCTCGTCTCGTTTTTCACGAACTCATTTTGCATCTGTAATTAATTCACTTTGTGCAATTTATGCTCGTCCCTTGGTTGGCAAATCACTCGTCGTTCCCCCGGGTAAATCTCGGCTGTCAGGACAAGTTCATTTGTCTTGCTGACAGCCAGGACCTCGGCCAAAGCCGGTTCTGTGGTTGCAGGTTGGCTAATAGTGAAATATTTAACGACAATTACAAACACAAATGGGTGTGTTTGGGTCCCCTGACAAATGAGTTACCTTTCTCTCCGGATTGCCGGTGAGGAACTTCAGCTCCGACTCGATGCCATTCAAGATGATGGAGACATTCTGCTCGGCCTCGTCGGATTCTGCAAAAAATGAATTACAAATTCAGCTGAATCATGGCGAAGGCACTCAACTTACCTGGTCCATCGTAGGCATTGATGCAGTCCGATGTGCGGAACTGCGAAATCAGAGCCTGTTTGCCCACGCCCGCCGAACCGAGCATTTCCACGCGATAGAACTCCACCGGCTGGTGGTTCTCCTGGGCATTGGCGTTTCCGAATCCGTTGCTGCTGCTGCCACCACCGTTGTAGCCACATCCCAATCCCAGGCTGCTCCCGCCGCCGGCCACGCCCCCCAAGCCGCCCACT